TCACAGAATAACATAGACTTTTGAGGGATCTCATGCCTCCAACTCACTACCCTAAATTTTTAGCATGTCTCACAAGATTTGCAGAACTCATAGCGGTCTTTAAACTAGGAAGGCCAGTAAAATCCACTCTCTAAAATTTTCCTAGCTGTCCTCTTTGAGCTAAAATGTCCCCCACATGACAAAGTATGACAAGCAGAGATAATCAGTGGTTGCTCCTTTTGAGGCACACATCGTCTTATGATCTAGTCCCTGCATAACCTCCAGAGGAATGGTTTATCCCATACATAGTATTTGGACTTGGATTGGAGCTTCTGCACCTGGTAAGAAGACATAGAAGGTGGGGTTAGTCCGGTCATAACATAATTCACGATGTGAGCATACCAAGGCTCCCTAAGAGCTATGGAACATAATATCTCATCAGCAAAAGAATCAAAGATAAGGCCAGAATTATCAACTCCCCTTATGTCTATCGGCAACCAGCTTAAGTGATCTGCCATATGATTTTCAGCTTTGGCTCGGTCCTTGATCTCAAGATCAAACTCTTGCAAGAGGAGAGCCCAACGAAGCAACCGTGGTTTTGAGTACAGTTTCTTAAAAAGATACCGCACTGCTACATGATCAGTAAATACAACAACCTTAGAGTTAATCAAATAAGGTCTGAATTTATCTAGAGCAAAAATTACAACAAAAAGCTCTTTCTCAGTGGTTTTGTTATTGACTTGAGCAGCATCCAAGGTTTTTGATGCATAGGCGGTCACCCTTGAGAGTTTATCCTCCTTCTGTCCTAATATGGCTCCAATAGCAAAGTTAGACACATCACAAGAAATCTCAAAATGTAAGTCCCAATTTGGAGCAACTAGGATGGGTGGAGAAATCAGTTTAGCTTTCAAGGTATCAAAGGCAATTTTACAAGTTTCATTAAATTCAAACTCCGTATCCTTTTTCAAAAGATTTGAAAGTGGTAAGGCTATTTTACTAAAATCTTTTATAAATCTCCTATAGAACCTCACATGCCCAAAAAAGAATCGAATTTCTTTAAGATTAGTAGGGTATGGGAGGGAGGAGATAATCTCAATTTTTGCCTTATCCACTTCTATGCCCTTGCAAGAGATCAAATGCCCCAAAACTATGCCCTCATTGACCATAAAGTGGCATTTTTCAAAATTCAAGACTAGCTTTTTTTCAATGCATCTTTGTAAAACCTTTTCTAAGCTACACAAGCAGGTAGTAAAGGAGTTACCATACACACTAAAGTCATCCATGAATACCTCCATGCAATCTCCCAAGAAATCATTAAAGATTGACATCATGCATCTTTGGAATGTTTCTGGGGCATTGCAAAGTCCGAATGGCATCTTTTTGTAAGCGTAGGTCCCAAAATCACAAGTGAATGTTGTCTTCTCTTGTTCCTCCGATGCAATGGGTACCTAAAAATAACCGAAAAAACCATTAAGGAAACAATAGTGGGATTTACCTACTAATCTTTCTAACATTTGGTTAACAAAGGGAATGGGGAAGTGGTCTTTACGTGTAGCATCATTAAGTTTCCTATAGTCAATACATACACGCCATGCATTTTGGACTCTAGTGGGTATGAGTTCATTCTTTTCATTTTTCACTACAGTCATGTAACATCCCAAAATTTCTAACCTAGAAATGGGAAAATATGTCATACCTTGATATCTTTAGCATGATTAATGAAAGATTTAGGGTTGACCAAGGCCAGATGAGATAGACGATAGATGAACAGCATAACAATTGAAGTGAGAACTGAAAAAGGACCAAATTGTCATTTTTAAAACGATTGGTCTATAAAGGGCATTATCGTAATTTGTGTCCGGAAATCCTAAAAATTTCCAGTAAATCATGGAAAATAGAATTAATGCCATAGAACAGTATTTGAAGTCTAAAAAGTAAATACAGGTTGAAAATAATTTATGAAAAAAATTATTTTAATTATTAATATTCTGGCTAAATTAAGAAAAATTAACCAATATTAATTATTAAAAATATCTAGAGATCTCAAAAAATTATGAAAATTTAAAGAAAATTTATTTGGGAATTATGGAAATTTATAAAATTAATTCCAACCCTAAATGATAAGGAGGTTAGCTTTAATTGAATTTAGAGCTAAATTAATATCGTAGATTATCTTTTTACAGAAATGGCAATTTAAGGAGTTATATAGGGAGAAAAATTATAAAATTAATCAGGAAAGTTTCCTTTACTGAGATATAATTAATGGTGAGCTGATATAAGAATTTTGAGATACTAGAATTTTTTAGCTATCAGATAAAATAAACCAGTACTGTATTAAGACTCAGTGGACTGTCAGGACAGTAGGGGTGATAAAATTTCCTACAGATTGCCAAGGACACATGTCACGCCCAAATTGGCCAAGAAAAGGAAAAAGAAAATAAAAAGAAAAAGAAAAAGAAAATAATAAATAAAATTAGATTAAAATCTAATTAGAGATAAGTAAGATGATTAAAGTTTAAGCCATCTTCCATAAGATCTTGACACATGGCAAACATAGCTCATTGGATGGTTAGGATTTAACCATCTAACTTTGAAAAGTCAAAAGTTTCTAGAAGGGCAATTAGCTAAGTTAATCAAGGAATTAAGAGAGTTAACCTTGATTAAGGCCTAATTAATCTTAATGGATAAGAAGAGATGACATAAGCCTTAATGACTCATCATCCAAGTGTCAACATACTAAGCCACATAGCCTAAGATTTGTACATATGGAAAGAGGTAAAAATTGGAGGGCTAAGATTACGTCTTATGCAAGAAGGGTATATGTGAAATTAGTGAAATATGAAGCCTATAAATACCCCCCACATGTTTATTTCATGCAAGATCTTTCAAGTAGGAAACCTCTTGTAAATTTTCGTGTAGAGAGAGAGAGAAGAATTCTAGTGAGAGAAAGTCATTTGGAAGCAAGGTAAGCTTCTAAAACTCTTCTATTTCAAGTTATAATGATGGTATGTTAGTTTTAGGCTATTTTAATGATGATGGGAAGTCATTTCCCTAAGGGGAAGTGCTGCCCAAATTTTATCAAAATGATAAGGAATGGTTTAGATGAAGTATGATTAGGATTAAGAATGGTTAAAGGTTATGGATTAGGTGATTACATGTTAGTTTTGTTGAAAATCCTTTTCCTATAATTATATACATGGTTCGCCAAGTCAAGTTCAATGTGAAGGGATTGGATTTTTATAAAACTAATATGATAAATGGATTCTACATGAAAAATTATGTAGGAAAAGCCCAAGAAAGTTCAAGAATCAAAGCTAGAAAAATAAACCCTAAAAACCAAGAAAAAGGGGTTTAAGGGGTTATGTTAAGTTGTGAAGTTGCAATGATACTTAATGTTGTGTCATTGGTTGCCTAATAGGCTATACACAACAAAGGGACAAAGATCTAGTCAAGAGGAAAGAGTTCAAAAGGAAGGAAAGCACTCAAGGCAGCTTTTGCAATTCATTATGTTAGAGTGTCGCCTTACTTTGTATGATTATGGCTATGTGTTTTGCTAACCTGTTATGCTATGAGGTGAATGAGAATGTTATGTTATATGATGTTGCCTCCATGCAAATTATGCCTTGGCTTATGCTATGTTGAGTGCCATGAATGTTTATGATGATATGTCCTTGCCGTAGGATGAACATAAAGTTAAAGTATACATGCATGTAGCTTGATTTACAATGTATTGTGTGACCTTAATAATATATGTAATTGCTACTAAGATTCCCCAAGAATCTTACCCCAATATTTAAACAAACCCTAGGGCCTTCAACATCCAAGGGCAACAGAAAGGAGTTGGCTCTTACTTGAAAAGGTAGTAAGCCATAGTAACTTTATATGGCTTTAAACCTTTCTATTTGGAGGAATGTAATATGAAGCATGCTTTAAGTTTCCAATAGTATGATTAAGGCTAGAGGTATACAAGCATGAGTAGAATAATCCAAGCATGATTAGAAATAGCTAATATAGCTAAGGAGAGTACGCTATGATGTTAAGTGGTCAATTAAGTTAAGTTACCCTTCTAAAGGGGGTAAAAAGTCAACTAAAAGGGATTAAAGTTTGACCAGTGACCATTTGAGTAAATGAGTGAGTTAGGTTTTGAAATTTGGCAAGCAAAGAGATCTTATTTTTCTCTTTAAAATGAGGGGTAGTTTTCCTGATTCTGATAATCGAGCAGAAAGTTATGCCTTTCCAAAGTTAGGCAAAAATAAAGTAAAAATCCGAAAATGACCAAATGAACAGTAACTTTTTCAAAGAAAATTGGGCTCGAATTTCAAGGTAATCAGTCCAGAAACTATTTTTCCTCAAAATTTTATCCAAAGAGATTTCCATAAAACTTGGAATCACTCCATTTTGATTTTTCTACAATTAGTTATGAATTTTTAAAGTTGTCATATTTTAGGGTGACAATGAATAGTAACCCGTAAATGAAAATTTTCAAACTTGATTTTTCATAACTTGTAGTCTTCAAAAGTGATTCCAAATGCTTCCGCAAGATAAGTTATTTGGTATAAACATAAGATGTTACAAGTCAAGCCACTCTTTTTAGGTACTACTTGAACAGGGCTAACCCACTTGCTATCCGAAATGGCATAGATAATTCCAGCACTTAGGAGCTTTGAGATCTCCTTCTTAACTACCTCTTTAATCAAAGGATTAACTCTTCTTTGATTCTGTTTTACTGGTTTTGCTCCTTCCTCTAAAAGGATCCTATGAGTACATACAGTTGGGCAAATACCAAGTATATCGGCTAGAGTCCATCCTATGGCTTTCTTATACCTTTTCAAAACATTAAGCAACATGTCCTCCTCTTCTAGGGAAAGGTAGTTAGCAATTATGACTGGGAGTTGCTCATTAGATTCCAAGAAAGCGTATTTAAGGTTGGGTGGTAGGGGTTTAAGCTCAAGAGTAGGTGGTTTGATTAGAGAAGGGATTAAATTAGAAATATTAATAGAAGAAAGTGCAAGATTACTCCCCTATCCCTTCCTGGCTGTGGGATGAACTCCAAGGTTGATCAAGTCTGCTACTAATCCCTCCATTTCTCTAAGGGCTGAATCAACTAGCTGTTGATCGTTATTAGCAACGGCCTTGGACACCATATCTGCATCACTTGAACAACAAGTTAGGGCACTATCAAATAGATATTTCAAAGTATGAGAAGAAATGGTGTAAGAATTTGGTTCACAAGGTGAAGTAGGAATCTCTATGGCCTTAAACCAAGACTCCTTCTATGAAGTAGGTGTGAAGGTGGAACAATCACAATGGATAGGCACTTTGAGTTTGCAGCACTATAAGCTGTTCGTCACGGCAATAGTACATTTCATCACTGCAAGATGAATGAGTAGAGCTGACACCTCTCGAGATAGAATTGTTTGTCACGACCAAACCTACTTCTCGTCACGGTGAGTTGGCAAGACAGTAAGCTTCATTTTCAGAGACTACAATGCTCTGCCTCTCCTCTAAATCTAAATCTCCTGCAACACTAACAGAAAATTCCTCTCCAAGAGAGTTGTCACTGATAATTGGAGGTATAGTGCTAATGCAAGATTTAGATTCATAATATGACAAAGTGGATGTGGGGCCGGTTATGTACAGTTAACTATTACATAGTTAAGACACGTCTCACTGCCACCACATGAACATGTAGAGGGAAATGAATAAAGGGAAGAAAATGAAGTAGGGGCTTTATCCTTATTAAATAAGGATTCACATGAATAAAAGTCAGAAATATCAGAGATGACCTTACTTAATTCAAAGTCAGAAACGACATTATCAATAGCAACATCAATAACATTTAAGCCTAAAAGAGAATAATCCTCATATGGATGCCTCATTGCCTCATACATATTGAAAGAAACTACTTGCTCTCCTACCTACATGGTTATAACACAATCTTTCATTCGAATCATAATGTTCAAAGTCCTCAAGAATGGTCTACCCAAAATAAGCATGGATTCATGAGACAATACATTGGCCATGTCAAGAATGTAAAAATCAGCAGGAAAAAGTAAGCCCTTGACTTGCACTAGGATATCCTCTAGAATCCCCTCAGGTTTCCTAGTTGTTCTATCAGCCAGTTGGAGGGTAACAATAGTGGTCTGTAAGATACCTACTCCTAAAGCTTGATACATCGACAGTGGGATAACATTTATGGCCGCCTCCAAATCAAGTAAAGCCCTAGCTATGGCAACCTTTCCTATAGTGCAGGGAATGGTGAAAGCACTGGGATCTTGGCATTTAATCGGGATTTGAGGTTTGAACAAGGAAGAAACATTTGGACTAACTTGAACTAATTCATTGGGCTTAAATCTTCTCTTGTTTGTGCAAAGCTCTTTTAGGTATTTAGCAAAAGGAGGGGAATTCTTAATCAAATCAATGAAAGGTAAATTCACATCAAGCTTACTAAAGAAATCCACAACCTCTTTCAAAGTTTTAGATGCTGCAACGCTTTTAGACATGAGATATGAATTGGGAAAAGGGAGTTCTTTAGAATTCACCTCCTTACCGTCATGCATTAAGGCTCTCTCTTTGCAGCAGCTTTTCTTTGATTTTTTTTGAACTTTCTTGGGTTGGTCCTCATGGCATTCATTTTTGTTACCAACCTCTTGATCAACTCCATGTGGTTCCTTGGATTTCTTGAGCAATGCCTTCTCTTTAGACCTTTCAGAAAGCTTCATGGGTGAGAGAGGTGGGCTTTCTACTTCATCATCATTGCCTTCCTCTTGAGCGAATTGAACTCGCTTCCCACTCCTAAGCTCAATGGTGTTGAGAGACTTAGGGTTTATTATAGTGTTTGAAGGTATTGTACAGCTAGCTTTGGCTTATTGATCAATCATGGTATTAGACATTTGAGTGACAAACCCATTCAGATTCTCATGTCTAGTCTCAAGCTGTTCAATCTTTGAATAGACAGTAGCAAAATTATTCTCAAACTGACTACCCATAGCCCCTATCTTCCCTTCCACTTAGCTCATCTTATTATCTAGGGAAGCTATCTTGCTGTCACTCTTAGACATTTGGCTAGACAAGTTCTCAATCCCCTTCAAGATAATTTGCAAATCACTACTCCCACCACTTGGTTAATGTGGAGGATTAGTCAGAATTATAGCAATAGCGGGATTACGTCTCTGGTAGTTACTTGAGGAACCACCTTGGTAGTTGTTTCCTTGGTAATTTTTAGTTTGAACTTGGCTGTTGCCTCTCCCCTACTTGAAGTTAAGGTTATCTCTCCACCCGAGGTTGTAAGTGTTAGAATATGGATCTCTTTTCTGGTATTGATTCGGCTTCTGTTGATATATAGCAGATAACATTTTCAGTTAGACCAATACAATCTTTAGTTCTATGCATTAGGGAGTCACATATATTACACCAAGCAGCGACTAAAGCCAAAGACTCAGCATGGGGTTGGTTGCTCCTTAGATTTTGGACTATGGACGCCAATTTAGCCATGTCGTGGGCTAGCTTGACAAGAAGTGGATCCCTGTCTCCCTTGTACCCTCTAGTATCTCTAGGGCTCACATGTTGGCGGTTCAAGGCAAAAGTACGAATTAAGGCCCAAGCAGTTTATGGTTCCATTAGCTCAACTAATCCGTTAGCTGCAACATCTAACACTTCAGCATCATATGGTAACAGACCATTATAGAAACACTGAATGAGGTGCTCCTTAATAATCTGGTGGTTCAGGCACTTAGTTAGCATATCATGGAATTGGCTCTAGAATTCGAAGTAAGTCTCTCCTTCCTCTTGCTTAACAGAAGATATCTCCTTTCTAGCAGCGGAGATCTTAGTAGATGAGAAGTATTTGTCAAGAAAAGCTCTCCTCAGTGTAGTCCAAGATTCATACGGGTTGTCCATATACAAGAGCAGATTCATATACCACTCTTTGGCTCTCCCTTCCAGAGATAAGTGAAAAACTTTCCATATCACATCTTCAATTCTCGCTCCAGTTGGCTTCATAGACAAGCATTGCATATGAAGATACTTCAAATGAGTATATGGATTTTTACCTGACAAACCATTGAACTTAGGAAGTGAGTGCATTAATTGACCTTTAAGTTCAAAATCATTTTCAAGAATAGGCACTGCACCGGTCAAAGGCTCAAAATTAGCATCGGACTAAGTAAGGTCTTTAATGGTTCTCCCTCTTTGTGGCCCATTAGTACCATTGAATCCCATATTCTCACTGGCTCCCTCATGTCCATTACCATTCAACCCATTGCCCTCAGTTGGTTCATTTGCCTAATGTCATTAGGGTCCATCCCACTACCACTTGCACCTTCCATGATCGGGATCTCTACAAATATATCTACTGGGTTTTCCTGCTCTTCACCAGTGGGTGGGTCAGGATTGTGGGAACGAATGGTGGCTAACCTACGCTCTCTCCTCAACCTCCTCAAATTTGTCTCCAACTCAGGTTGATAAGGCACTAAAGGTTCAGTCCTTCTTCGCATACACGGTTAGAAGATGTAAAAATTCCTTGTACATAAAGCAATGCAAATAAAATGGATGAATGAATGGAGTGTAAGAGTATAGGGTATGAATGAATGATGAATAAGTATAACTATGCACTTAAATGAAATGTGGAGTGAGTAAGTAAAAATTTTTAGCTCAAAAAGGTTTTTCATCACGGCTAAACTTAAGTTCATCGTGACTAAAGTGTTCAACAAAGCAAACCCAGAAAAATGAAAAGCAGTTCGTCACGACAAAACAAGTTTTGGTCGCAACTAAAAATCTTGACAGAATTGACTGCAGAACAGGGCAACAGCAAAAGCAGAGCACTCACAAAACCAGAGGTAGTAAAGCCACACAAGGATCAGAAAGCTGCAGTAAACAAGCTAGTAACCACAGTATCAATACAAGAAATCTAAAGAACTAACAAAAGAAAGACAAATGCAAAACTTGAAAGAAATCAAGATTTTTATGAGTTTTCTAAAAATTTTCTATGCAAGAGAGAAAACACTATGCTTAACACTAAGGACTCTAAGACACTAAAATGCAAATGCAACTACTAGATAGCCTCGATTACATGGTTTGAACCCAAGCTCAACACTTAAATTGACACCAAATTACACGAGGAACCAAATCAATGGCTCCCCGGCAATGACGCCAGTTTGATGAAGCCTTAGTCGTTATGGGTTCAAAACAATTCAATTCCGGATAGGAACACACTAGAGTGGTACAATCCGGGACGTGTTCACTTTGAGGAGCCTAACTTGATCCTATGTAATCTAAGTGACAAAACCATGCGAGAAGATAAAATGGGGGGATTGTAAAACTGAATTAAGTTGCAATTAAAAGAAGTAAAATATTTTTGATCTTTTTTAAAATGAATTAAAGCAGTAATGAAGAAAGCAACTAAATGGATAGTTTGAAAACTTAATTGATAAAAATACCCCTTGGAGAATTGATTAAGCCTTCATCACTTTAAATATGTGGGGAGTTTACTTAAAACCAATCTTAGCTAGGTTAGAAAACCTTCCAAACTTAAGTAAATTAGTATGTTATTGAAACCTTTGACCCAAAGACTCACAACAAAACTAACCACCCTCATGAATGAATAATTAGTGAGATTGATGTAATGGTAACAACAACTTGAACACAATAACCAATTATACTATCAAGGTACCACAATTAATCAAAACCGAACTTGGATTGAAACCTTTCAAATTCACAAGATTAAATGCAGAATTCTCATTACAAAACGAATACCAAGGCATAAATTCTTAGAATCCAATCCAAAATAACAAGATAATAATAATGAAGTTCAGCTTTAACAACAATATAGAATTTCTAACCAGGAACAACTAAAATATTATTAAAGTAATGGAAAAGATGAAGTAAAACTCCCTAAATTAAGTCCCAAGCTCAGGCTCTCATCAAAACTCCTCAATGTAAAATGTCTAGCCTTTCATGACCTCAGAAACGGCACCTCCGAGCTCTGAAATCATAGCACCAGCCATAGAAGATAAAGATGGATGATGGATGATGCAGAAAACTAATAGAATAAGGTAGAAAAGGGGTAGAAATCAGTGGGAATCAGTAGGTGAACCTCAAGAACCCTTAAAGAACCCTAGGAGACAAAAAAGGGAGTTTGGACGGTGAATGGTGGCTAGCTCGTGAGGTATATTTCCCAAAATTGCAATATGAGGTTTAAAACCTGATTCTATGTTAGCGCCCTTTTCGTTGTGACTAACTATCCAGTTCGTCATGACTAAATGGTCAAAACGAACAGCTGCATTTAATTGGGCTTTTTCTAGAATTCCTGAAATCTGGTGGGCCTTAACTGCAAATTTCCTTAAACTTAGGTCCTTTGGAGATATTTTTCGCTTTACCCTTGACCTGAAAATCAATTTAAGCACTTGTAATATCCAATTCAATTTTGTAAATGATGATTAATTAAAATGATGCACAATTTGACAATTTTACCCCTACAATGTGCTTAATGAGAATTTAAACCCACAATTCAAGATTACTACAATTCACATCAAAACATGTATTTTAAACCAATTAATTCCTCCAAAAACATGTAGTTGGACATGAATTAATGCAATAAAACTTGGTAAAATCACTTCCAATCAGAGGTTGATCTCAAGGAACTCAACAGTCTAATGGTGTTATTGAGTGATTAAGTCACAAATTAGGGTAGAAAGTAGGTGAATGCATTAGCAACTGAGATGAATTCATTTTTGAAACTTCAATCAAAATGCTACTAAACAGAAATTCAAGAATCCAGAATAGAGAATGTTTTGAGATTGGAAATTAATGAGATAAATGATTCCTAGGAGACATAACTTTGCCTTCACTACCTTCCTTGTATTAATCAGAATTTAAAAGCTTTAATTGAAATAGTTTCTAATGAGATGAGATTGATTAAATGGAGATTCAGCCACTTCCAAAAGAAATATTAACCAATACTTCTTAAGAATTTAATCACAATGTATAAATCCATAACTACACCTAGCTAAAGAATCATACATCATTACTCTAAATCAAGAAGTTAACCTCTGAATACAATTAACCAAATCTCAAATCACAAAAGTGGATAGAGAGGAGTCTAAATCCAGAAACAAAGATTGACAACACAATCAAATGTCACTAAAATTAAACACTTATAAGCTTTAAACTCTTCCTTGTTTAACCATGGCTCAGGCTCCATTATAGCTCATAGAAATCCTTGAAGTTTAGCTGGACATGGAGGATGGAAGACTCAAGCTGGAGGATGCAAACTTCATCGTAACAATAGTGATGGATAGAATGTGGCAAATCTGGACGGAGGATTCCGGGGGAACCGAAAAACAGAGAGATGAAGATGAAAAACTGAATAATCCTCCCTAAATGCTTTACTCCCTTATAACTAACACCTCCAAACTGAAATTAGTTCAGGATCCACGTGCTAACTAAAGTGGAGCTCTAAGATCCGATTCCATTCCTTCTCCAGAATCTATAACGCGCTCTTTTGGTTCAAATTGCTGATATCTGTCATTTGTCGCTGCGCCCCTGATCATCTGTCGCGGTGCACGTCCAAAACTATGTCATTTAGATTAGTGACTCTGAGCTGCCTATTGAACTAAATCCACCGTGACGCTTCTTCAAATCTATCATGGTGCCCTTTACAGAAAATCTGCCACTTTTACAGATTAAGTCCCTAAATGTTCCTTTCTTTGATTTCTGAACCTGAATTCTTATGAAATTACAAAACACTCCTTCCAAGTAATTATTAGTATTTCATCACATTTAGTTCCAAAATTAAACATATAATTCCATAAAAATCATGCTAGAATCAATGAAATATAGAGAGATATCAAATTCCCCCACATCAATTCATTGCCCAAAACACATTTAACAAGGGTGTCTGAAACATCCTACCTTTAACCCCTCAGAGCAAGCATTCGTAAGCATTATGGTTCAAGCATATCATAACACAAACCCGTGGATTTAAAATTTC